TTTTCACTTTGCTACTGAAATTTTTTATATAAGTTTCACTGTTTTTTTGCTAGTATTTGTACAATTTTCAACATAGCAACTCCGGTTGCTTATTGTATTGTTTTTACCTACTTTTTTTGAAAAAAAGTAAAATGTATACGTGTATTTGATATGCCAAAATTACAAAATATCGCCCTAAAATGCACGAATTATCCACAGCTAGCGCTAGTATCGCTTTTGCTTCCCTTTCCATGACTTCGCACGGAGCGAATACTGTTCTCTTGGAGTCAGCATTGGAAAGCTTACGTACTGTGTACCATTCTATAAGTACCACTGCATTGTTTGAGCCTACCTTCGCACAAAGATTTAATTATAATTAGGCATTCCAAACAAATGAATTACCAGTGGGCAGGTTTGGTATATCTAAGGGTGGCGACATATGGTGTATTCTATCTACTTTACGTAAAATCATGAATAATGGATTACATTTAAATATTTTATGTCAAACACAATAAAAATAATATTTAAAAAACCCACCTATACATTTCTTCATAAATTGGCAGGCTTGGCGCCTACTACTTTGAATAAAAATAGCGTCCAAGTTGCAAGACTATGTCGCTACCCCCCTTAGATATACAAGAATTTCCCACTGGCACCTATTGTTTGACAGGTCGTTGGAATGCCTAATTGGTATGGCTGCGTCAGAATATTTTGTCATAATTTCTCAGCTACTAATGAAAGATTCTCTCACAATAGATGGAGGGGGTCATAAAGGAAGATGATAATATCGTTTTATTTAGTGTAAAAATTATTGGATACTCTACACAGATGTATAGAAATAGGCACAACTAAAATTCTTTACAAAAATGAGTAGAAATGCAAAGAAATATAATTATTTTAATGTAAAAACGTCGCAAGCTAGACAAACTGGATCTTTATGCGAAGAATTATAGTTTTTACGGTTAATGATAGATGCTAACAAATCAATTATTATCAGATACCAAAACATGAAACAATTATATTAAAAACTTGAATATTTAAACTACATTCGATCTCAATCAATAAAGATCTAGATTCTAAAAGTGCTTGTCAATTTTCTCTGGAAGATAATAATTTGCATAAATAAACTTTTTTCAAAAAATGCTCCTGTGGCAATTCTTCCTCTTTAGATATTACCATTATTATAATGTTAAATATAAACTAGCTTTAACAATTTTAGCTATTCATTTTTTGAGACTTAAGCGTTTTTTCTTCTTAAAACTATTAGGTAATAGTTTACTTTTAGCTTTAACATTTTTAGCTATGAGTGTTTCACTATCGGTATCAGTATCATTTAAAACATTTGAATGCTAAGCTAATGTTTTTATAAAAATACTGTATATTAAAAAAAAAATTTCGGTGTTGGAATATTACTAATACATCGTACTAATAATTTAAAATAGTAAAAGATGTTACGGGCAAATTTGTGCATTTTTCGAACATTTTTTTAAAACACTGCACATTGGCGATATTGTCTCAGAGGGTTAGCAATAACGCCACATAATATTATTCGTACAAAATGTTGTTTTTATCGGAAATTTTACAAGGAAAATCAATTTTTCTAAATTAACGTTTATTCAAATAAAAAGAAAACTTAAACATCAGTAGTAATAAACAAGCAATAAATTTTTAGGAATAATATGGACAAATGTAACCCTCAAATTTAACCTTCTTCTGTCCATTTTGCATGCTTTGCAATACCAACTTTCTTTACTAGTCGCTTTCTTCGGGCCGAAGGACTGTTTCCTTGGTGCAGGTTTCTTAGACTTGGGAGTAGAATTGTTGCCTGTTAGATAAGACTTGGCGAAAAGGTGTTTGGTAACAACTTGTGCTCTGGAATTGATTGCTGGTTTTCTTGGCCTGGTGTCATAATATTTGTGTTATTTCAGGTGTGGTAAGCATGTCAGAAAATAATGTGTGTTGATTTTCTTCACTCTTTTCGTCCTGTTCGTCTTCTTTGGCGTCACTATTTGTATTATCGTCTAAGCATTCGGACGGCAGGGATTCACTCTTTTCAGAATCACTTATGTCACGTAACTGAATTCGTTGACGTTTTTAAGCAGCTGTCGACAGATCTGGAAGTGGTGTACGTGAAATATTGGGTCGACTGTTGAAAGGACCTGGAGGAGGTATCATGACTATGTTGCGTAGGTGGTTGTTGGTTAGGATTTTCCTGTTCAGTTACATTGCTTGGAGTATAAGCTTCGGGTGGTAAAATGTCCGGATTGAACGGATAAATTCCAGTTGCTGCGAAACCAGATTTAATGTTTGATGGTGTCATACATTTATCTCAAACTACAGAAAAAATGTTTCCAGAACGTTGTTTTGATATAGCACGATCCCTATGTGTTGACCAGTATTGAAGAACTTCGTCATCCCAATGGTGTTCAAATGAGCGAAACACAGACCTATCCATAGGCTGCAGTTCGTGCGTTGTATTTCTTGGCAAGCAATATAACGTTATACCCAACTCTTTTGCGACCGTGACAATAGAAAAATCCAGATGACACTTAGCACCATCGAAAATTAAAAGAGATTGGCCAGCAACTTTGTATTTGGCAAAATGATGCAGCCATTGTTTAAAAGCATCAATGGCCATACTACATTTCGGAGTCATTAACACCATACTAGACGCCGGAAGTATATCTGCTCATTCAGGATTCATCCTTTTTCCTTTAAATAAAATTAAGCGAAGAATCGCAGAACACAAGGCATTGCCACCAGATACTATTGTGACATTTTGTCCATGAAAATGTGAGGTTAGAATTCACTACAAATTGAAATGTAGATTGCTTTTACTATTGCGAAAGTACCCCAAGCGCCATTTGTCTTTCAAAAAGAAAACACCAAACCCCAGTATAATTAATAATACAGTAGCGACAGCTTGAGTCGGCTCCTTTGATGTCGGGGTGGTCAGATTTTTATTGACAGTTGACGTTTTTGCCGCTTATTTCTACACTGAAATAAGTAACTTTAAAATATCTTGTCCCTTTGTCTGTTTGAATAAAATATCACACACTAAATGAAAGATGAAAACTAAGTCTAAATATAATAAAAATGTATTAAAATGTGCATTACAACCAATCAGATAATCAAAACAATCAACTATCATTAATCCATTGACAATTCACATATGTCAGTTTGACGTATTTGCCGTTTATTTACGGACATGCGCAGAAAAATATGGAGCCCTCATAAACAATGAACTGTCGCTACTGTATTATTACTTATACTGGGACCAAACCTTCCAAGATATGAACCATTGGCGTTATTGCCAGCTTAGTGATATTGTATTCACCTACCTTATACACTAGCTTTAATAATTTTTGCTTTTTATTTTATAAGACTTGAGACAGTTTTGTCTCTTAAACGTTCATTTTCATCACTACTAACACTATTTAAATTTACCTGAAGAAGCACCAGAATGTAATGATATGAATATGTAGAGTCGATGCAGGTAACGTATCGGCTGATAAGAGAGTGGTTTCTTGTCTAATTTTTTGATAATTCACTCTTTGAAATTATGCTCGATGAAGTGTGTAATAATGATACTATAATGTGTAATATCTATTTCGACGAGTATTATACTTATTTTATTGGGATAGAAGTTGTAAATTAATGTTATATCGTTGGATATTTTGTTTAGTACGCCATTGGAAATATTGTCCGATTTTTATTTTATTTATTTATTAAAACATACAGGGTGGCCATACGAAAACATACCAAAACTATTATCAGGTACTACGTCATTATGTTAGACAAATGCTCAAAACCATGAATTTTTGATCTTAACGGGGGATATCTTTCTGTCAGCATCAGCTGTCATACGTCATTGCCCGACCCTTCGTCACTCTAATAGAATTTATATAGGGAAATACTAAGTACGATATTGATTTTAACACCTTATAGCTGGATACAAAACTGTTACGTGCCGCAAAGTAGGTATGACACTTCATTGGAAAGCTAATTTTATTATGCAATAGTTTTCATTTTTTTAAGTTTATATTTCATTTATTTATATTTTGTTTTGTTGGGTATTACGTTATTAATAAAATTAGCTTTCAAATATAATATCACACTTTGGCCACCTTATATCTAACATAAAATATTTAAAAAAATAATAAAAAACTAAGTTATTTACCTCGAGTTGTTGACGGATTTTTACGTTATGGGGTCCCCTGAATCCATTTTGACTATTTTCGCGATGATGTCTTTGTGTGTCTGTGTGTCTTTATACTTGATAACTCATAAACGGATAGAGAGAAGAACACCAAATTTTAAACTTAAGCTTTATTCCGGCTTGTGGTGAACTGATTTTGGGCAGAGTCGGAACATCTAGGGGGTACTTTAAAGGGGGTTATTTTTATATTTTATAAAATATATCTGTTAGTTACGTTTGGAGAAGAAAGTTCTTTAATTAAAAGTTACTTCTTATATTATTCGCTATGATTTTTACCCCATACAAAATTTTCCTAAAGTGGTCTGTATTCGAGAAACTTGACAAAACGTGCAAAATTCTAAATTTTAAGAAAATTTTTAAAATAAAAGTTGTTTGCGATATCGACTTTCATAATTTTTATTTTATACATAATTTTTCTAAACCGGATCGTAATGGAAAAATTTGAGGAAAAGTGTAAAATTTTAATTTTTCTGTATTTTCGTTGGCAATGAATATATATAAAAAAATGTGTCGAGTAAGATGTGGAACATGTACATATTTAGTTTATCCTTTAAACATTTACAGAGGTGATATAATAGGTTTTACAAAATAACCGGAAAAAGCCTGTGATAACTAGATAGGAAATTACCATCTGCACGATCCTTATCACAGTGATCACTGATCATTATTATTATATTTGCCATCAATTATAAAATAAATTTGTAATGTTTAATTCTGTTATTATCCAACAATATCAAGATATGGGGTACCTAAAGGGTGAAATAAATTATTAAAACAACATAAAATGTACTACATTTTTATTTCATTAGTCTAGTGTTTTATTTCAGCTTCCATGTCTTTCTCATTTTCTTCTTTTGCATAGCTTAATTGTACTGAATTTTTTATATCTTTATTCTCGTTCATAGCCCAAGGTTGAAGTTCTCCAGAAGCATTTAATCCATAAAATATAGCTCCAAAAATATATAACGCGGCAGAAATATAAAAAATTATAAGCCATTCGTCTATGTTATCCTAAAATATCAATATAATTTTATTAGATTTAATGAAACTAAATGTAGACCATTTTATATCATGTCATTCAATGTAATATTTCATCAGTAGTACTTGAGTACAACTTTGTCAGAGTTTTCTTTTATGAAAGCCAAGACAACAAAATTACAGCGCGTGTATTTAAAAGAGATGAATATAAAAGATTAGAGACTAGTATTCTTTATGGAAACATGTATATTTAGAAAGGAAGGCAATATAGATAGCATATTGCCTAAAACAGGCTAAGGTGGTACATACGCACTTTTTCATGATGGAAATAAAAATGGGTCGTTCATATTTCATGTTTCTAATTTACCTAACAGAAATGGCACAAAAAATGGTACCAACCATATTTTCGAAATTATATTATTATGAACAACGGGAGTTTTCAATATAGATTAGAGATTCCTACTAATACCGTGACAGTTGAATTAAAAATAATATTCAATTTCCAAATATTAAGATGAACACCCCAATTCCCCCTACCAAACTAGGAAATCGATTCTCAAAACCTAAAGTGAAAACATGACAAAGAAAAATTAAAAACGCTGAGCAGAGAAATTGTGACCCCTTTAGATTTAGAATATTGTCTTCAAATTACCAATGCTCTATATATGTTTGCTTTATTTTTCTTTGCATGTAGGTGTTTTTTTTTATTATAAATAAAACAACAATTTTTAAAACAAACTTGATAAACTAAATCACATAATCGGAATGTTCCAATAGATATCCCCTGTTTTTAAATTCATTGATAGATGACGCAGCTATAGCTTCTTCGGGTAGATTGTTCCATGTATTGAAGGTTAGATTCGACAGGTAGTTTTGGCGTAGTCTTATCTTGAAGTTTTTTTTTATTAATCTCATTTGATAGCCTCTCGTAGTCGGTCGTTACTATTTAGTGTAAATAAATAAATCCCCTAGATCAGTGTATTTGAATTTCACAATAGTAAAAGATGCAATCAAATCGCTTCTCAAACAACGTTGACCGAAGGGGTAAATTAGGCATTCCAGCGACCTGTCAAAATTGCTGCCAGTGGACTTTAACAGTCAATTAAATTATAGTTATATAGATTTCTCAAATGGAATTGCATGGCCCTCAGCCATATTGCCTCGCAAGTATTTATTAATGAGAATCGGTTTAACAATAGTATATTATGCAACGATCATGTAATGATGGTTATTAATACACGAGCATTAACCGGGATACGAAACGAGCCAAAGGCGAGTTTCGTATGGTTTATGCGAGTGTTTTAATAACCATTACATGAGAGTTGCATACGCTATTTTTTCTACACCCGATAAATAATCAAGACCTATAAATATTCTATTTATATTGGTATTGAACACAATAACAGTAATTACTCGTATTTCTATAAAAAATTCTACAAAATTGTAATTAATGGTATTACCTTGGGTACTGGTATTACCACAGATTTTTGGGGCAAAATATTTTGTACTGCATTTTCTCCTTTCTCCTATATGTGTGGAGGAGTGTTCTATATCGCTGATATCAGACATTTTAATATTATAATTATCGAAGTTTAGCTATCTACGAAAATTTAATACGTTTTGACAACTAAAACAATTACATAGGAATTTAGGACAAACGTCAAACATCATGCTTGATTGAAAAATTGTAGGTTTCTATTAATTAAAAATCTGTATCATAATGAAAAATCTGTATCATAATGGGTATCATTATGAAACGGATTATGGGCATATAAGTGCATTATTATAATACGGGTGTAGAAAAAATTTGTTTTGAAACCAATTTTCGGGGTGGGTAGCTCAGTGGTAGAGTCTCTGCCTATGGATCCAAGAGTCCCAGGTTCGAATCCCATCGTTGGCCGGGATTTTTTTATTTAATTTAATTATTTAAAATGAATTCTGATGCCTTGGTAGGATTCCCCACTCGACCATTCACTGTTGGGTTCTAATTAACAGTGCTGTTCCTAAAGTGGCGCTGGGAAACAATAACAAAGCCTACACAGAACACGAGGCTAATGGCCTTAGTAGTCGATGCCGATGACACCAAATTAAAAAAAAACAATTTTCAGTCTTTGAATATAGTGTCGCGCAAAGCCAACCATGTGCTTTGTTTGCTCCTTGTATGAAGTCTAGCGCTGGCCATATAGAGACAAATACACCGCTTTGAAAAGCGCACAGAAAAAAAAAACAGTACGTGGCCCTTGAGTCATAGAGATGGAATTCTTGGACATTCTAGATCATCTGGAAACTAATGGTACAGAGCTGGCTTTATATAAATAGCGCGAGTTGTCGAAGGAACGGGCAGTTTGAAATGAAGTGTTAGATAGAAAAGATAAATTGTAATAAGTAAATTAGAATTGTAACTTATAATAGTGCCTAAGTATTATATAAATTAATTAGTACGTTATAAATAAATTGTCAATAAAGTTTTTTTTAAATAAATAAACTATAAATGAGTTAAACAAACGTTACAATATTAAAAAAATAATTACCAACATTTTTACTTCAAGACAACTTAGGTAAGTTTATTTTGAAAAACACGGATGATAAATCTATATAACTATTTATATCGTTGACCCTGTCATATCCATTAGGCCTACAACAGGGGTGCCATTTTAATGGCCACAAACAACTATTTTGTTTGGAATGCTTAATTTTGAAACGGAAAGTCTTTCCGCGTATGAAGAGCATTATGACGATAATGTAAATGACATGCACGTGGTGCAACGTTATACATTTTGCAAGGTATTTTGATCTCTAATTCGCACTGGGTATCAGACAGATCCCGCGTATTTAAGTATCGGTCTAATATATGTTTTGGTAAATTTGGATAGCGGCCGAAAAAGAGATACTCATAAATGATCTATTTATAAGAAGCTTAAAGAGTTTGCTGCTTTATACACAACAAAATATGTTCGGATAACGACAAGTCGTTTATAATGGTTACACCTAGGTCTACAGAATATTGGAAACGCGAATTGTTTTTCCAACATACAACACATTTACTTACATTTAATGGGAGCAGCCAAGCACAACACCAACGGTTTATACAGTGGTGCATGGTTTATTATTTGGTTGTGTTAAACGTAGGGGGTTTGGTGTTTTCCTATTCATTTAACTAAAACATATTTCCAAGACTGTAGTGGATTGTTTGCATAAAAGGGGCTGGCACTCCTTCGTTGTTGTAGAAATAAAAATCCGGCTATAATTAACACCATTTAATCGAAATTCTTCAAACTATTACAACACAAACGAATATTCACTATTTACATACAAAAGGGGCGTTTGATTTAAAACTCGATCGAGCGAGCGTCGAGGAGACCGAGAAGTGATGACGTCACAATAGAGCATTGAATCAAATCAAATAAAACAGAGTAAAAAACATAACCTCGCTTTTTTGTGATTCTTGTTTCTGGTTTGTATGTTAAAATAGTGAGCAAAAAGTAAAGAAAATGGAAAAACTTTTAATAATAAGGGGTAATGGCCCTGAAATGCAGCATTTACCACAAATGCCCGCTTCGCTCTCCTACTCCATGACTGTGATTACCTGGTGATTAGATCTGGACAGAAAAAATGTATTTTCCAAACACACATTTTGTGTTTTTTTATGATGAATAATTTTAGCTATAAGACAAAAGCGGCTAAGTAATTTGTTGACTTCTTGTCTGGTCTTTAATTTTGAGATTCAAATTTGTTTGTAAGTTAATTAAAAAGAGATAGGTAGAGACAAAGACAAATTTCTCCCTCTTCTCGATCTTTCTGCTCTGAGAACATCGAGCTCGCTCTATGTTCTCGCTCCAAAGCGAAACAAACACTTTAGGGATCTCTCGGAGTGTCAATTCAAACACTTTTGAAGCGCTCGGAGATCTCCGATGATCAAATCAAACGCACCATATAACGGCACTACTGTAGAAAATAAATCACATTTTTGCCAACATGTCGGCGTTTTTAGAAACTATTTTTACAACTTTAATATGACGGCTTGACGCCTTGGTTAAAAATAAATTTTGTTAACAGCGGCAAAGCATGTTCTTTGTTGTTGAAAGAGAACTATATTCTAAAGCTCGATTGCGGCTAAATTGGCGGGTTTAGAATCGTCGTTTGCTTGACACGTCTGCCCAATCGTTTTTAAAGTAAGTGTTACCGTGACTGTGACGAGAAATCTAGGCCAGCCAGAGTTGGAATTCATTATGTGGAATGCTTCAGCAGGTTGGTATACAGTTTTGTATTATCGGCGCTGATACATGGAAAACGCCCATTGATGTCAATTTAAAGGACGAGTTTAATTGATCGATTTTTACCATATCCTGTATCTTGTATCTCCAGTTTTAGCGTTTCTCGAATACCAAGATGTCTTTTCTTGTGCACATTATAGAAGGCTTTTGCGAAGTCTATTCCATCAGTAGGTATTTTATTTTCTAAGACGCGAATCCAATCAATTACATTAGAAGATTTGTGGTTGAGGATTTTTCTCTTAAAAAGTCATTATGTTATCTCATGATCTGCTGGACGATAACAGCATCCATAAATTTGTGAAGGTATCGATAAGAAACTAATTGGTGGATAATTCTTAGAACATTTTTATAACCCTTCTTAAAAATTGGCGTTAGAAATGCTAATTTCCATGATGAAGGAACAGTAAACTTATTGAGTGAAGAAGCCAATATCATAGAGAGTGGAGTACACAGTATTAGCACAATTTATTTATAGAATCTAATCCATGCGAGGAATGTAATTTTAAATCTGGAAACTGGTTTTTGACTTTATTTGGTGTAAAAATAATTTAATTATTTCCCAATTCGGTTTGAAATGATTGGTGGTAAGAGTGTATTCACATGTTCCTATGTTAAAACTGTGGAGAAGGTATTGGCAAAAATTTCTGCTGTTTCTTCCTCTGTGGAACATACGAGGATATATCAGTATATAACGAGACTGGTGCTATAACTTCTTTCAGAGGTAACATTTTATTACCCAAAAAATGAGACATGGAAGCCTTATATTTAATATACTACCCCGCAAGTAGGCTTTGATTTAACTTTTGACATTTGTTACAAATTAATTATTGAATTATCAGTGTTTTGCGTACCCATCGAAAAATAAAAGTGGAGCAAAGATACGCGATAAAATTTTGTGTTCGATTGGGTAAAACACCAACTGAAACTTTTGAAATGATTAAAGGTGCATATCTAGATAATAGTTTATCACGATGTAGAGTGTTTGAGTGGCATAAAAAGTTTAAAGACGGTTGTGAATCAGTTGAAGATGAACCTCGTCCCGGTCGACCACAAACTGCGAGAAATGACACAAAAATTGCAGAAATTAACGACTTGATACAAAATGATCGCCGGATTGGCATAAAACGAATTTCTGACAATGTTAATTTGTCTTACGGTACCACTCAAAAAATTATTCATGAAGATTTAGAGTACCGGAAGATCGCGGCAAGATGGATTCCAAAAGTGATGACCGATGAACAAACAGCGAATCGAGTGGCAATTTGTCAGCAGTGGAAAAGGCAATTGCAACGTAACCCACAGTTTTTAAATAATGTGGTTACATGTGACGAAAGTTGGTTTTATCATTATGATCCTGAATTGAAGTCTCAAAGTATGCAATGGAAGCATAAAGGCAGCCCAAGACCGCAGAAGGCCAAAACTGCTAAAAGCGCTGGTAAAGTGATGCACCTGATTTTTTTTGATAAATTTGGCGTTATTTATGATCACATTATACCTAGAGGACATACAGTAACAGGGGAGTACTATTCTAATGTACTTCGAGGACCCTTAAAGGCAAAATTAAAGAAAAAAAGGCCGCTTTATCAGGACTTTGGCTGGAAGCTGCATCACGACAATGCTCCGGCTCATAAATCAATGATTTGTCAACGAACAATTGAAGAATTAGGGGTTGAAATTATGGTTCATCCCCCCTACTCTCCTGACTTTGCTCCATGTGACTTCCATTTGTTTCCTGAAGTCAAAAAAGAATTGAGAGGTAGAAGATTTGAGTCAGATTTAGAGCTCAACAACGCTGTGATGGGTATACTAAACATAGACTATCAAAAAATGGTTTTTCAGAAATTTATGATAAGTGGATAAAGCGATGGAATAAGTGTATTCAACAGAATGGAGAGTACTTCGAAGGATAGTTGTTGAATTTTTTTAAATAAATGTTTCGTTGTTATACTATACACTAGTCTCGTTATTTTCTGATACATCCTCGTATGTTTACTTATGAGTTTCGGGGAAGAGGAATACCTAGTTTAGCATTTATACTTAAATGAATATATTTGTACATTTTTTTTATTTTCGTACAACCATATTTCCGTAATTTTGGCGTGAGAAGTATATTGCTAACCATACAGTGTTAACTATTTTTGGCATTAAGAGCAAAACATCAATTGGTTTCATGGAAATATTTCTATGGTTTATATAATATTGTCTGTTGTTGCTCTGCATATATCTTTTCCAGAGTTGCTTTTTATGGTGAACTAACGATATTATATTGGTCGTTATCCATAGTTTTATGGGGTTAACTAAAAAGTATTCTTTGAGAAGTTTGTTTGAACGATGGATGTCAAATTGTTGTGGAATTTGGTCTAGATATGTGTAGAATTAACAGATCCACTAAAAATATCTAACCAATTTATTTTAGCTAATTCAGCAGATACAGAACTATAGTTAATTATACAGCACTGTTGATTTTTTCTCTGATTGGTTATTTTTTAAAAATTTAGGAAAGTGAACAAAAATAGTAATGTGATCATAAATGCCGATAGGTAGAATGTATTTGATATCAGAAATTAATTTTTCATCATTAGTTAGAAATAGGTCAAGAGTAGAGGATATATTGTTAAAGCGATAACTAACATTATTATTGTCGGGAATATGAATATTTAGTCAAGAAATGTCAGAGAAATTAAAATTTCCTGTAATGCGTAAGTTATCCACTGTAGATAATTGTTGTAATTCCAGTGTGGATAATTGTTGTAAGTGTTTTATTCATTGTTGTATTATCAGATACATCCCAAGGTCTATAAAAGCAAGCAATATTAGGATTTGGGTTGTTTTTCCATGACTTCATAAGTAAAGCTTCTATTTCATAAATGTTGATTTTTAATGAAAAATTATTACTCATTGCGAATATAAATACAGACATCACCTCCTCTGCGATCTATCACTTCTTCCATAAACAGTATAATCATTATTATTCCATAGACTGTCAGGTTCGAGTGATGTTAGTCACGTTTCAGTTATGAAGAGGATATGAGGATTTATATTTATTTATTTAATACACTATTCAACAGGAAACTTAATTAAAGAACAACAGTTACAAGCTAATATAAGAGAAAATGATTCTTAATTTTACTTACAGTACAACTAAAGATGTCTAAATTACTGCACATTTCGTTAGAACATTCACACATTACATAAATGAGAGAGCTTTTTAATACATTTGTTCTAGGCACTGGAAGGTAAAATGTGCATGCAGACCTTGCCGAAAATCGAGGAACATAAAAGTTTTTCCTTTTTAATATGGCGGATTCATCAATTTTATCATTCAGTAACTTAAATAGAAACAGCACCGAGGCACAAGAACGGCGAGCTGATAAGCTATTAACTGCGTGTCTTTGCAAAAGAGAATTATGAGGCGTTCCGATCGCAGGGTAGACACCATCAATTTTAAAACTTAACAGTTTTAAAAATTGTCTTTGGACTTGTTCTAACTTGTTAATATGAAGTTGATAAAATAGATTTCAAACTATAGATGCATACTCAAGTTTTGACCTTACGAATGAATAGTAGAGGGTAGTGAGTGTAGACAGATTAGTTAAGTCTCGATTATCCCGTACAACAAATCCGTAAAGACGAGAAGCAGAGGATATACTAGTATTTTTATGCGGGCCAAAAGATAATTCTCTATTAAACGTAACACCTAAATCCGTAATAGTAGTTGGGTCTTTGGAGGATTGTGTTGTTAATGATGTAATCATATATTATAGGATTAGCGCTAAGATTATATGATATGACAAAACATTTCGCGAAATTAAGCGATAAATTGTATTCAACTCTATCAATATTAGCTTGAAGGCATTCGCAGTCGGATCTGTGAGCAATGGTCAAACACAATTTTAGATCGTTGGTATATAAAATACAATTAACATCAATTTTATTAGTGATATCGTTAATAAATAATATAAATAATAAAGGGCCCAGGTTCGAACCCTGTGGCAGTCCTGATTTTGCGATATACTCAACTAATTTGAAGCCATTTATATATACATACTGTTTACGGCTTTGAAGATTTAGTAAGCAAGGTTCCGTGATCCAATGTATCAAACGTCTTAGTAAAATCTGTGTATACGATGTCCGTTTGCTTCTTACTGTCAATATTCTCGGCAATGATTTGTGTTACAATAGAAAGATTAGTTAGCGTTGAACGTTGTTGTACAAAACCATGTTGATGCGATGAAATTTTACCGCTGACTTGCAAATTAATATCGCGATACAATAAAACCTCGAACACCTTCGAAAAATTACAAATTACAGGTATTGGTCTATAATTAGTCACATCATTCCTATCTCCCTTTTAGAATATAGGACTCACTTTCGATGTCTTCCACATATCTGGAACGGTAGATGTTTTAAGACATATATTTAACACACCATTAGAGAATAAGCAAGGGCATGTGCACAGTCTTTAATTAGAAAAGCCGGAATATGATCGGGACCTTTAGTTTTCTTTACTTGTACTTTCTTTAAAACTGAAACTATTAATAAAAATACAAGTATATTGTTGTGTATCATCAGCTGTAAAATATGGATATAATGCAACAAATAAGTTTACTCAATTTGAATTTAAGACTGTCTAAATTAGTATATAGAATGAACCAGTTTATGAAACTTAGTTTGACCATTATTACGTTTTGTTTCCAATTCTTGACGTAGTTCTGTCAGTATCTTTTGTTGAGTTGAAGCTTGATCACTAATAATAGATAATTTACGAGAAGACTTTCAAGAAGTTCCTTGTGATGCTTCTCAGATCTTGTGTAAGTTAATAGCGAAAGTGTTTAAAACGCAGAGCTTAGTAACCTAGTTTTAGCACAAAAGAGCAATACATTAATAAATCTAGAAAACTATTGCGCGATTTCTTCGTTTTAAGCTTTTAGTTTATTAAAATTAAGTAAAAATTGCTGATAGGTCAATTTAGATCAGGTGTAACATAACGCTCATTAAAAAAAACAAGATCAATAGTGTAAACCCTGAAAACTGCTCCCAACATTATCAAACCTCAGTTTGGATTTAATTCAAAGCCGTGCGTAGTTATCACGAACATGACTTGTATCTCTATCTTTGTTGATACCTTACTATACTTTAGTTATTTTTTACGTACCTCATGAGTGACTAGATAACCTGTTAAAATAGGACTCAAAATACCTGGTACTGTTCCAAATGTATTACTTATTCCTATTATGATGCTCGCATATTTTGGAGCAATATCTAAAGCATTAACTCTAAAAATAGAAAACATTCATAAGTACACTTGATTTTAAAATTAATTTTGTAATGATTAATGATATTACCCAAATCCTGTTAAAGAAAAGCCTCCGAGTCCAACAACCATGACTAGACAGAAAGTCGTCCCGGCAGTTGTTAACCAAAAACCAGCCCCCAAAATAAAAATGGCCTGCGACAAAAATCCTACGCAAGTAAGTAGTTTTCGAACTTGTGTGGTTGTGAGCACTTTTTTAATCAATAAACGATCGGCTAGTTGACCTGCTAACTGCATTATTATAGCCATGGCTAAATATGGCAGTGCGGACATAAATCCTGCTGAATTTAGGTCGAAACCCAACACATCTAAAAATAAAGTACTTCACTCTAGATATTCAAGTATATTGAAACATATCTATATTTTTTAACGATAGGCAGATGAGCTGACGCCCATGTAAAATAAACTTTATGATAGAATTAAAAAATGATGATATTGATATTTTATTTTTCAGTCTATTTCAATAAAAAGTAAAAAAGAATAAATCACGTGGTTTACTTACTTTTCATTATTTTCGGTAAATACGTAAGAAGCGTATAAAATCCCCACGTTTCACAGAAGAACGCCACTGCAATCGTCCATAGAGGTCTTGACATAAGAAACGACCACCACGGTATTTTATGAATTTCTTCTATATCCCCATTACTAGCTTTAATTGAACTTAAAATGTATTCTCGTTCCTTAGAACTGATCGATTTATCTTTAACTGGTGTATCGGACACAAATGTTGTCCAAATTGCACACCAAAGTAATCCTACTGCTCCTAAAATATTAATATTAATTATTATTAAAAATGTATTTCTTAGTCTTTACTTCTTACAAACTATTTCCGGTTGCATTTATTTTGAAAATTTTAAAATCAAAACTACATATCCCCTTACGAAATTGAGGAATCCATCCTCACAACTCCAAGGAAATTAGTTTTCGGATCTTTAACCGAAATTACCTCTTTTCTTTTTTTCTTTATGTACGAAGGGCGGCCCAAAAAATAGGATTAAAAGCGCTCGGCTGTTTCTAGGCGTAGTAGCAAGTTCTTCTGCTAGGGGTTACTAGAAGAGACCTTAGGGATACCGTTTTTAGATTTCCCACTAAACAGCTATTCGCTCAGTGCAAAGTCATGGTAGGGGAAGCGAAAGCGATACCAGCGCTAGCTGCGGATAATTTGTGCATTCTAGAGCGATATTTTGTAATTTTGGCATATTAAATATACGTTTAAATTTTACTTTTTTTTCAAAAAAGTAGGTAAAAACAATACAATAAGCAACCGGAGTTGCTGTGTTGAAAATTTTAAAATACTAGCAAAAAAACTGTTAATTATAAAAATGTTCAGTAGCAAGGTGGAAAATATAATTTTACGATGTTCTTTAACGTCTCTTTAATCCTAAATGTCTAGCAAGAACTAGATTTCTGCCTTTGATTATTTTATGTGACTGGAATGCAATTTTGTGACTTACTGATGGGAAACCAGTTTTAGTCATTCATTTTATGTTTTCTTTCGAACAAAAATGAAAATCCTTCTGTTTATACATTTTAAAGGTATTTATTTATTTTGAATAGGTTCTTCAAGGACAACTTAGGCAACTTCTCATACATTTTCCCGTAAATACTGTTGCCTGTCTTTATTTTAATACTGATTTTTATTGAATATATTTAATTTTTTTTTTAGTTTAACCGATAGAAATAAATAATAATAAAAAATTAATGTTTTACTTGTTTTACAAATCTATATACTTTTATTAAAACTAACATATACACTTTTCAATTACGAATTCTATTAAAATTTGTATTGTCAGTTTAGGCAAAAATAGTCCATTAGTACAAAAATAAATTGGCGCTGCTGTCACGCACAACATTAAACTCACACAAATTACGATAGAGGCAACTAAAGTCTATTCAGATTTCATTTACGCCGCGTCAAAACAATTTCTTCCATCCAGCAACTGCTCACGTGACATTTTTTTGCGCTTCTATTGGTTAATCGGTCGTTTGTCATTTAGACGTCACGCAAATATTTTTTGTCAGAGTCGAATTCAGTTCAATTTGGATAATTATAAACGGCGTTTTGGTAGCATTCACCGTGTTGGTTAGTTTGGACATTTTGTATGTTTGATTGATTATAATTCATTATATTATAGTTTAGATATACATATATTGTGTTATTTATTTTGTTTTTTTTTTGTGGTTGTTGTTAGTTTGAACATTTTATGGACATTTAATTGACTATATTTTGTAATTGCTGCGTGACACTATGTCCTCCACAGATACAGCAGATAAAGTCCAGAAAAATGTTTTTACTCCTTCTAAAAAGCGACTGAAAAAGGGACATTTGGTCATCCGTACTAAAGAAATGGTTCTTAATATTTATAAGCATTAAATTTTATAGAACCCTGATATGTTGGTACATGATGTTGAAAGGAGAGTTGTTGATAAAACAGGGATGTGCGCTAAAACCGTTTTTAATGTTATGAAGGAGTATAGGCAGATTCATAAATTTTCTGAACCAAAAAGAAAGCTACGTTATAAACAAATTAGTGGTCTGTGGATGATTTTGATTAAAATGCAATAAGGCGCAAAGTACATCAATTCTTCTTTAGAAATTAACTTCCAACAATTGATATGGTTTTATAAGAAGTCAACGATGATCCATATTTGTCTACTTTTAAGCGAGCTATATTTTACAAGCTTTTCAAAACCCTTAATTTTAACTTTAAAACTCAAGGAAAAAATTGTTTGCTTTTAGACAAAAATGAAATTGTTTCGTCCTACGCCACAAAAAATAAAACGGTACAGAGAAGAAAAGCTAAAAATATATTATCTTGATGAGACTTGGATTAACGCAGGCCACACCAAATCAAAAGTATGTTTCGATATGTCGGTTTTTTCATCCAGACAAGCCTTTTTGGATGAACTTTTAACTGGTTTTAAAAACCCATCAGGTATGTGCGTAAAAACAGCTCATTATATGCCATATTCGAAGTGAAGAAGGCTTTGTCTCTAATGCACTTTATGTATTTGAATTGAAGAATCCGGTGACTACCATGAAGAAATGTGTGGAGAATTGTTCAAAGAGTGGTTTTCAAACACCCTACCAAAATTAGAAGATAACTGCATTATTATTCGAGAAAGCTGGAAAAAATATCTACGGCGTCTAAAAAAGGTGATATTTAAAAATGGCTATAAGGGAAAAAAATTGAATTCGACTACCAAATGCTTAAGGTCCAACTTCTAAAACTTGGTAAGTAACATATAAACATTATGATAGGTATGTAATAGATGAAATGGCTAAGCAGCAAAACAACATAATACTTCACATGTCTCCGTATCATTGTGAACTTAACCCTATTGAATTAATCTAGGTTGACGTTAAACAATACGAAGCAGATAAAAACTCAACATTTAAATCTGGAGACATTAAAATTCTTTTTGAAGAAGTAATATTATTAATTTCTCCAGAAAAATGGAAAAAGTGTATCGACCATGTTCGCCAAAAAGTTGAAGTAAAAATGTGGGAGTTGGATAATATTATAGAGGTTCAGGTAGAACCACTTGTAATTTTGATTAATGAAGATAGCCTTTCAAGTCTAACTAATTTATCCAATTCAGAATAGTGCTAAGTCAAGTAAGGAAGATTGCTATAATACAGGGTACAAGTTGTCTAATCTAAATACTAGTAGAACAAGAACAATAAAGAACAAAAGTTATCAAAAATACAAAAGGTTTCTTTTTAAGATGCACAATTTTAAATCAAATACCAAATTCAAATACCAAATACCTCTTATATTTAAAGTTTTTTTAATGCTTTTAGTAGATATATATTAGCTATTAAAGAATTTGCAATTATTTGGACACCCTGTACAATATAATTTTATAATATGATTGTTTTAATGCTCTGTATCACAGTAGACATATGTAATGAACTAAATATAATGCAACCATCTCTTTTAAAGTCAAATACATTTATTAATTTGTATTGCAGGTTAACGCAGTTTATGTCGCTCACCTATCTTCGTCCAGAAATGTCACTGAAGTCTGGGAGACCGTGTATGGCATTTATTTTATAGTTTTACTTTACAAAATATGTTTTTATCGTAATAAAAAAATAATTTCACAATTACACTCTTTTATTTTACATTTTTGCAAGACGGAAAAGTAAAATACGGCCCTGCTCAATTTTAGCGTCCACCTGCTTCTGTTTACATCAGGCGTAAATTAAATTTGAATAGACTTTAGTGCAATTAAGGGTAAACTGAATGCTCCTCCAATTAGACATTATAACGACCTACCAAATGCTGTCAATGGGAACTGACAGTTTAGATACAGCATCCCTGTGGGCATTTTGTCATTGACAGAAGCCCTATCTTTCTGATTCTGTTATTTTAAAAATGTTAACTGTTTGTAATCGTCCCCCATATATTATTAAATTTTGACTGCACCAGAAGATGAAAAAATAAATTCCCAAACATATGTGCTTGAATGATAGAAAATAAAGAAATGACCGAATAAACCAAGGTAACTTTTATTTATATAAAATTTTGATACGGTCAGGGAATTGTCCTTATTCAAACTTCGTTTGTGTTCTGTTATTCTGTACCAATACTTATCTTTGTTTGGAAAGCCAAACCACTAAAAAGTAATATTTCTAGAGGCGTGAAGGCAGCTATAAGAAGTCTCAATAAGGATGAAAACATCATAATTCTACCCGCCGACGAAGGAAATGCAACACTCGTCATGAACTCATCGAACTACAGGAGCAAGCTAAATTGATCGGGTTAATTAAGACACATACAGGAAATTATCGAAAGAATAAACAGAGACGATTTTTAGAGAAACCACCAAATTTACCACTAAGACCAATATCAAGTGCCATAGGATCATCAACTTACAATCTGAACAAACATCTGGCGGAAATTCTGCAAACATACGTGGACAAAACAAAATTCTACGTACGAGACTCTACTTAAGTACGCAGAGTATCAACTTGGAGCCTAACGACATCCTAGTCAGCTTTGACACCATCTCTTAATTTACAAATGTGCCACTCGAAGAATCAGTCAGTTACGTAAGGGAGTTTTTTCAGAGCTCATAAATCTTTTCAAACAATTGCTCACAATATAATATTTTCAGTGGAATCAAAGATTCTATGAACAATTTGATGGATTCGCCATGGGCAGCCCACTCAGCCCAGTTGTGGCCAATTTTTACATGGAAAAATTTGAAGAGAGAGCTATCCGCACTGAGAAAAAATAACCAAAGTATTGGCTGAGGTATGTAGATCACACATTTGTAATTCGCGGGCGAAAAGACCAACAACATTTTCTAAGCATATTAACAGTTTTTATCAAAAAGTCTAGTTCACTATAGAAATAGAAGAAAATTGGCAAATTTCTTTCCTAGATGTGTTAGTTAGCCGAGAAGATAATAAACTAAGCCACAAAGTATACGCAAAGAAGGTACACACTCATAGATATCTATAATATGGATCCAACCATCATCCAAAACAAAAGCGCACGGTTCTGAACACCTTAGTAAATAGAGAGTTTAGGATATGTGAACCAAGACACTTCAAAGATGAAATGAAACACCTGATAAAAGTGTTACAAGTAAAACAAATACAGCAAAAAAGACATAATCCGTGCTACGCGCCCAAGGGAAAATAAGTCTAGTGAAGAACAAAACCAAGGAACAGAAACTGTCTATCTATCATATGTAGAAGGTGCCACTGACCAAATTGGAAAATTTTTATAAAGAAAAATTAAATCAGCACTGTCTATAAGCCAACAAAGAAAATAGAGGAATATATTAAAACAACGAAAGACCGCAGAGACCCCTATCATCAGCAGGAGTCTACAGAATTCCATGCAATGATAGAAAAGTATACATAGGACAATCAACGAGAAGCATTGATATATGAATAAGAGAACACAAACGACGGAGAACACAAGATCCTTTTCGAAAACACCGAGCTACTAGCAACATCAAGACATTACTCGACCATATTGCATTTGAAGGCTATAGAAATACACAAAATCAAAAGAACTTCAGCAGACAGGAAGAAAAAAAAACAACATTACCTAGGATCTGGCACATATCATTAAAAAGAGCGAAAATAAAACCACCTAATACCAGTCACGCCAAAAAAGAACGCACAAACACGCATATAAATACCACACTCTGAGTAAAAGAGGATTCCGTTTCAGTTGATACGTCGAGAAGAAATCTTCATCAACTGAAAGTGGCTGCCGCAGTTGCAGCAGAAACGTTTTGTGACAATAATCGAGAGAGACCACAAGATAACAGCCTGAAAACAAACAATTAAAAAAAACACTACGTTGAACAAAATCATTGGTCCAATACCAGACAAAGGAGTAACTGAACAAATCGCGTCACTGAGGTCTCTATAAATTTCAAAAAATAATTGTTTAAAGTCATTCCTTATTTATCACTCTCAGAGATCACTTCCGCAGGAGTCAATAGAATGCCGTAGTGTGCAAACACATATTTTCCTACGATCCTAGTGGAAGAACTTGCTATTGTCCCCTAGTAATGTCCACACGCTTCTAATCCATTTTTTGTGTCCCCACGTATTTAAGGTTAATTAAATATTTTTAAAATCCACCAGGTATAACTACTTACCGAAAACATAAAATATGCTTTCCCATCCTAGAGAAGATGCCAGTAGTGAACAAACTGGCATAGCAACCACCGTACCCACCCAGCAGCCTGAATAAGATATTGTGACTAAACGACTTCTTTCTAGAGGTGGTGACCATAATGCCCAAACGGCTTGTATAGCGGGAACTGTTACACCCTGATGATCACAAAACATATTTATGTATTAAAATATTATTTAAATCGGACTAATAATACCAAAGATACGTGAACGCCCCTTTGGAAATATTACTGCTTTTTTTTTTGTTATAGGTATATTAAGTCTTTATGACAATTTACTTTGCTTACTCGAATCGGACCAATAATAATGAATATATATGTTAATGTCCCTTTGGCGATGATACTGTGCATGGTTTTTGTTTTCCTAACTATACGACATTTTGAATTATCCAGCCGTTTCCCCATTTGAATTTGACCGAAAAAACGAAGATTTACGCTTATGCTTTATTGACGATACTACTGGCTTTTTTGTTCAATATGACATCTCCACGACATTTCGAATCATCCAGTTTTTCCCAGTTCGAATCAGATCAACAGTAACGAAGATTCGAATGACGGTCACTACTGCGCATGTGATAACCGTACACGCCTAGCTAATGGACTTATCAAGAATATAAATATATTTTTGAAAATTAGAGATGATAAAGTGATTGCTTCCAAAACATTTATTTCTACAACGATGCTTAGATAACCATTACAAGCACTTTTAATTGAGTAAGTAGCACTTTTCCACACTATTAAAGACACAAACAAAAAATAAGAAAAACAAGAAAGGCATAGGTAAAAGAAATTCATTAAAATATTTAATATTGCGAGTAACCTACTGTACGGAAGGCACATGTTTCAGTCTTGTCAATATACTTCTAGCAACAAAATAAACCAGCAAAATTTCGTTACCTTGCACATACTAATTTTAATTAATAATTTATTTTTAACCATTGTAGTTAGATAGCCTAGTGGCCTAGTAGATCAATTTCAATGCAAATTATCTTAGTGGACAATGGCCAGTAGCAATAGATGGCAGCAAGCTCCATCGCATCCAAGTCATGTCTTTGATAATTTTGTCGTCTTTTACTGAACCATCGAACGGTTGTCGAAACTTGATAACAAACGTAATTTCTCTATTTACAAGCAGATGGACCGATAGGCGATTAAGTATGAACAGAATATTCGTTTTAAAAATAAGTTATTCATTTTAAAAAATATAACAATATGTATAGAATTCTATACTCAATGATCGAGGGAGCGCTAGCGCACGGGCCATGCTGATGAAATTCTGTTCTTGTTGCAACAAATGTCGCGACAAGTTTACCTTCAATAAAACGTCCATAAGGTTGTTCTACTAGGCTATCTAAATAATCTAAATACAATGTCTTAACACCGTTCATTAAATTTCTTTATAAATTATAACAATGATACATCTAATAAATTGATTTCATAGGAAAATATATTAGCCTCATGTAAGAAATATTGAATAATGTCATTAACAAAAGATTTAACAATAGTGATCCCAACGTAGAACCTTGCGGAAGATCGAATATCAGAGCTTTATAAAAAGGTCGCGGATTTAAATCTCAAATCAAAAAGTTTATTCAATAAGAAAAGATCAACTTTATCAAAAATCACCATTTCATAATTTACTTTAAGAGTTAGAATTGTATGTGGATGGGACAATAAACAAATACAATTTTTAAATTGCTTTTTATTATTTATATTAAATTAGTTTTTTCTATAAAATACAAAAATATTATATTTTAGATTATGCTGCCAGTTATTCATGAAAAATTTGTTTCTATTAATTTTTTTTATTGATTTGGATCACAAAATGAACTTGGTTATGAACAAACGATATTACTTCACAGTAAGTGTTCAAAATTTTGATCACCACCTTCAATGCCAGCATTAACTTTCATTTCATATTTTCAAACACATTAGGGTAGGATCGCCTAAAAGTACGCGTTTCATAAAAGTACGCAGTCTCCATATTTTTAGTTTTACCACCCCTTCCCGAGTGCTGCCGTCTGGCCCGTAGTTAGTTGTTTGTCATTCCAAGAGTATCCATAGTTTTGATGGCTGTTGTCAACAAACGCGTTAAATTTATGAGGAAAAATTGAATTTTCTGAAATTATTTGTTATATTTTGAACAAATAAGGTAAGCTATATTCATTTAATTCTTTAAATTTCTTCAAATAACTTGATAATGGCGTTTAAGCTTCATCTTCAGCAACGTGGATGGAAGTTTTTTGGGTTGCCTAAATTTGGAATTTTTTTACATTTTTGTATCATTGTTCCTAAGAGTACGCAGCCAAAGAGTACGCATGCGAACTCTTAGGATTCATGCGTACTCTTAGCGGCATCTGAGGTGTACGTGTTATTTTCTGTTTTAGCTTGCTAAGATGGGCAAATACAAGCGTAACAGTGATAGAACATTAAAATTTACTCAATAAATCCTTGACCAAGCAAGAGATCTCAAGAGGTCCGTTGCAAAATCATTCGGCATAAACGAGTGTACTTTGAGAAAAAGATTGCGAGAGGTAATGAAGAAATTATGTTTTTAGATTTGAAATAAAAGTAAATTTTTTATTTTAGGGTACCATTTCATTTTTTTTGGGTAGGTTTAAGCCCGTATTTTCGAAAGCGCAGGAAAAGGAATTGGCTGACCATTTCAGATCTCATATTTTATGGACTGCGTATGAAAGACGTAAGATCGTTGGCGTTTCAGTATGCAGAAATAAACAAAATTCCGCATAAGTTTAACACAGAAAATAAAATGGCGGGAAAGCACAGGGTACAAGAAATCAAGATCAAGAAATAATTTGTCCCTTATAGCCAGAAAAATGCAGCTTAGGTCGCGCCATCGGCTTTAATAAGGTGCAGTGCCAACGATTTTTCGAAAATTTGAAATTAGTGTACGAAAAATTAAAATTACCGCCACACAGAATCTTTAATATGGACGAGTCGGGACTATCTACCATCCCAAACAAGCTATCTAAAGTTTATGCTTCAAAGGGCATACAAATCGTGTAAAAAGTTGTGTCAGGTGAACGAGGACAGCTAGCTGCGTGAGCGCCGGTGGTATTTGGGTTTCACCGGGTCTTATTTTTGCAAGAAAGAGGATGAAGGATGAATTTTTTTTTTGGAGCACCACCTGGCACACTAAAAATGATATCAGATTCGGGCTATATGATTACTGATTTGTTTCTAACTTAGTTGCGACATTTCAATAACTTTGTAAAATCGTCACAAATAGATCCAGTAGTTTTAATAATGGACAATCACATATCTAACTGCTCATTGGATGCCATTTTATTCGCCAAAAGTCATTAAATAACTTTATTAACCTTACCGCCCAATGCAAGCCATAAACTTCAACCCTTGGATAAGGGGTTTTTCTTTCCCCTAAAAACAGCTTTTTAAAACGAGTGCGATAAATGGATGGTCAGCAACCCTGGACGAGCTATTACTTTAAAAGAAATGGTCAGTCTTTTCCATGCTGCTTATTCAAAAGTCGGTACAATACAAATATGTGAAAAATCATTTGCTTGCACTGGGTTGTTTCCATATAACCCGGACATTTTTAGTGAATCAGATTTTGCACCATCTGAAGTCACGGACAGACCGCAACAAGAGCAGGTCAAAGAAACTCATACTGAAATAGAGAGATCATCTATTGATGATAGCTCATCTGACGAGAATAATGACACTCTTGCGAAGGTTCGGGATATTATAAAATAAAAGCAAGCAAGTGTAAATAATTCCAAGCCTGCGTAAACAGTACTAGGTGAACCAGGTCCGAGTGGTACTGTCACGATTAAAAAACAGATTCTAAATGAAGAACAGCAGGGCATTTCTAAAAATTCAGCCAATTCGAAGAATGCGTCTGCGACATTAAGAGAACCTGGCTCGAGTGGTTCTATCACATCTAAAATGATTTTGCCGTTACCAAAAGCTGCCCATGAACAAGTAAGAAAAACCAAATCTAAGAGGTCCGAAATTTTGTCATCTATCCCTTACAAAGGCAATCTCTTAGAAGAAATCGAAGACAAGCGTAAATAAGAAAGGCGGAAAAAGAAAAGTTTTCAGTGATCCCGAAGAAAATACTCAGACTGGACTAGTACAGAAAAAAAGAAAAGCTGACAATAAAAAGACGATACGATTTGTCCTGGTTGCTCTGAATACTATTCTACATCGGATTGGATTATGTGTCACTTGTGTCAAATATGGTGGCATAAGGACTGCTCAACTTATCTAGGAAGTGGTATATTTTGTTGTGACTCACGTTTAAATTAAAGGATTGTGATATTAATGGCTTATATGGTCTTACCTATTTTCGCGTACTCTTCTGTTCATATGCGTACCTCTTTGGGGTATGACTGAGTACTTTTAAGGGACCGGTAGCCTAAGAATATGCAATTTGTTGTATTTGTTTAAACTTTACTGTTTGTTTTATATCTTAAGATTTATTGAAAAATTTGTCGTAGAAGTTCAGATTAGTATATGAGTTAAAATATTTTCAATAAAGTTTACGTTTAAAACATTTCAGATATTTTTTTTTAAGCAAATTGATTAAGTGCCCTATGCAATTGCTCCTCTGTTAAATTTTGAATTTTAATAAATATAGCTTACTCCAGTTCATAAAAATCATGCAAATGATTTTTGAATGACTTATTTTTTATATGTAAATATAAGTAGAAAATAGTCAGGGGTGAGGTCTGGAGATCTTGGAGACCATAATTCTTTACTAATGATTTGATCATCAACATTTTCTTTAAGTCAATAGTAGCTCTAGCTTTATGAGTTGCTGCTCAATATCGCTGAAAATAACCCATTTGTAGCTCATCATAATATAGCCGATAATAATGATGAGCTAAATATTTCTATATCGTTGGGCATTAATTATGTCATAGAAAAATATGGGTCCTACTATTCTTATTCTTAAAAATCCTATCCAAATAACAACTTTTATGGGATGTAGACTTGTTCCCACAAGACAACGATTTTTAGAAATTCGCCTGTAGGAAAGTTAGACTCCCAATTTCTGTTCTTACCTATTCGAGATACTAATATTTTTAGAGAATTATTAGGACTTTGCTCCATGTGAATTCGCCTATCTTGAACCACAGCCTCTGTTATTATTGT